ACTTACAGGCACAAAGCGCACAAGTCGGAGGATTTCATACAATAAGATCAAAAGTTTAACTGTTGACTTGAAAATTCTGCTTCACTTGATGTAACAAAGCCTTAACAAAGGATTTCCAGGATAATAACATGAAAAACTGCAACAGTGCGTACTAGTCAAACAGTAAACCAACTTTTCATGTTCATATTTATCACCTGTCTTCACCTTTGGACAGCAGAGTATAAATATAATATTGTTTCTGCCTGTATCTGTGTGTGTATGTGGGTCTGTCTGTTAGCAAAATATCTCATAAATTACTCAACAGATTTTAATGAAAACTGCAAGAAGTAATCTTTGAATAGATATTTACAACTGATAAATGTTTGGAGTCATTTTGACTCGAGATGCTTGTCACAGCCTACTGACCTTTGAAAACACAAATGTGGACATAATTCAGACAGTTTAATAAATTTTGATATACATTTTGGTGTCGTAGTGGCTGAGTCATCCCAACACATGCCCTGAGCACTAACAGACTGCACAAGATCTTTGATTTAATTTGACCTTTTAATTACATGAAGTCAACTTTGTTTGTCTGTTAGCAAAATTTCTAATAAACCACTAAATGGAATGGAATGAAACTTTGAGGAGGATCTTAATTAATGTACACCAATACCTGATTACCTTTTGGCGTGAACTTCTTTCAAGTTGGCTGCCACATCCAGGTGACTAGAGAAAACACACACATTGCTATAAGTGAATCAACTTTACAGAAATAATGCTAAAGTTTTAGTAGTAGTAACTGTGAGACATTCACAACATACATAAGATTTTTACTTAGAATGTTAGCAGAAACTGTAGGAGTCAAACCTGTTTGTCTGTTAGCAAAATATTCAAAGAACCAATAAATAGATTTTAATAAAACTTACAGAAATTAATTATTGGATTTGTATCTACAACTGATTAACTACTGGAGTCAGTCTAATTCAAAATAGTTGCCACAGCAAATTAATATTGCTCACCACAAAATGTCTTTAACCAGGCCAGTTTTACAAATATTAAGCTCTAACTTGACATGGTAGTAGCTGAGAGTTTGCCCTAACTCATAATGTGAGTTTGACATCTTGTGATATTATATAAGGTTGCACATTATGTTTAAGTTTTGGCCAAAATTGTAACACTGTCTCTTTTCATAATAAGAGGATTTTAGTCTAAAACTCTGTCRATGGCATTCCTCAAAGGAATGTTAGGCCTTTAATTACTGGTTAAACTTTGCCGCCACATAAACACACAAACTCACTCGCGCACTGAAGCAACAGACAAGTCTGGATTTTCCTTCTCTGGCTTCACATCTCAGTCAGTACTGCTGCGAAAGGCCACAAAGGAAAAGAGACTTTCAACAGAGAGGCCCATTCATTGCAAGTTAATAGCTGACGATAGCTGTGAAGTATTRCTACAAGTCAGGACTGAGTGATGGCTTCTGCTTACGCCTTAACCCTCACTAGTTGTAGAGAGGGAAGAAAAAAAAAGAGGACTCTGCTCCTTCACCTGTTGTCCCCCGCATTTCCTCCCTGAGCTCCTCCTGAGACTGGTGTAGGAGCAAGAAGGTCCATGACGTCACCAGCAGCTCTGTTCTTCCAGACAATACACCCACACCACTGGGACTTTCCCTGCCCGGACAACAGGGGGAGCTGTTGTGTCCTGGTGGTATGTGTGCGATGACTCAATCAACTCCTTTCTTTACTCCCACACACACACACACACACACACACACACACACACACACACACACACA